TAAAAGATCTTCCTGTTCCAATTCAAATGGTTTAAATTCTTCTTCAATAAAATTATTATATAACAATTCATTCAAAGACATTTTCTCTTCCAACTATCAAAGTAGTGGTTATTTAATTCTTTTTCAAAACATACAAAACATTATCACAAAATTGCGTTACATTGCTCAATTTAAGTGTTACTACAAAAAATTAAAGAATTAACCGTGTAAAATGAAAAAAATTTAATTTAAATAGAAAATGAATAATAATAATCAAAATTAATTGAATTAGACTTCTTATGCTAAATACAAATTACAATAATTAATCAAGTACAAATTAACGACTATATAAGGTCAAACGCTGTTTTCGGTGCATCAATTATGAACAAATATATCTTTGATACAAAAAATTCGAACATTTCGATCTCATTATTTGGACCATCATCAGCGAATATAATATATGTGTTAATTAATGAGAGAATGATGTTGAAACGCTATAATATTAATATATATTGTTCTCTTATTTGTCAACAGAGATAAGTCCATCACTTGGTGGAATGAAAGTGTGACACGATTATTTTAAACCTTAGAAGTGTGTCTATGAATTATGCAACAATAAAAACTAATCATTATCACAAAGAAAATTATTATAATTTTTAAATGACTTTATCTCTGCTGGTCAACAAAAACACAATTCCATAATTACTTATAAATGTCATGTGTTCAGCTGACAATTTAATCATTATGATATCAATAATTGATAACTACTAAGAATAAGTAATGAAGACCATTGATATTAAACGATATATATATAAGATTAGGTCAAATAAAATATAAGATTAGGTCAAATTCTTGTTTATCAGTTTGTTTAGAATATCCGCGTATTAATCAAGACCTTCGGTATCTGTTTGTAAATTGAGTCCGTTCTTTTGTTTTAATAGCATTTCTGAGATCAAGCATTTATGGTAAAAATTTTCACAATCCAGAATATTCACATTGCTCCAATCGAAATCATGATCGCATTAAAATCATTTCAATCTATGATCAGTAATAACAGATCTGGAAGAAGCGTTCCAACATATGTGATTTTATGTTCATTTATTCTAGTTTTTAATTTCCTCCATGTTTGATCAACATAAGTTGCATCACAATTCTTGCATTTAATTCTATAAACAACGTTCTTTTTAGTTTCATATGGAAGAGGATTTTTTTGAACCTTGATGAACTTGTTTAATTTATTGGTACTAAAAAATTATATTCTGTTCAGATTTATTCCATTCACAATACTCTTGAATCTATCTGAAAATCCCTGTATATAAGGAATTGTAAACCATTTGGTATTGTCTCTTGAGATGTTATTAACATTACTTTTATGTTGCATTGATTTACTCATTATGGAGTTAATTCTTTTTCTGATATTTTCAAAAATAAAATCTAATGGAAAGTCATTAAGTAATAAAGTATCAATAATAAATTTAAAATTTTAATATGAAAATCTGGATGTGAAAATAAAAACGCTTTCTCTATTAAACCATAAATTACACCTATTTTCTTTGAAATAGTGTGTCGAGACCAAAAGTTTAACATTCGACTAGAATAGATTTCTGAAACAAGGCAAATTGTAAAAAATTATCTTTAATCTTTATGGTCATGTCAAGAAATTAATGCTGTTACCATCTATCTGCAGGAATATTTGTGAATAACGAAATCTAAAAAAACTGTATTCTTTCTGTCAATCTTTGTATTAGATAATTTATCAACTAATTTAAAGTTAAAAAAAAACTGTTAGTTGAATAACTGAAAGATCTTGGAATACTTATGATTATTTTATGCAAGAACGTGGTTATCAGATAAAACGGACTTCCAATAGATGAAATAATTATCCTAAATGGACAATCAGATTTATGCACTTTCGGGAGGTCATAAGCTCTAAGTAAACCCTTATTACATCTCAGTCGTTTATACAAATTTTCTGTAATATATTTCTACTTTTTCCATTTTGTAATTAAAGTTTTAAGATTATTAATTATTTTATTCGTTGGATCTTTAAAAAATTTTTTATATGTTAACATCACTAAGCATTTCATTTATTTTTTTGATGTACAAGTTCTTGTTAAGTGCAACCGTCACAAATCAGCTTTAGTTATAAATTCTTCTTACTATTTAAAAAAAATCTTGTTTTATCCTTAATCAGTCTGTTTTCATTCAATTGTTTGTTAATCCGGGAATGTGAAAACATAAACAATTTTTTAATAATATGCGTTCCTTTATTTCTAAAAATTTTTTGAAATGGTGTCTGTAATATATTATTTTTCTAATTTTTAATGAATTCGAATATTAACATTTTTTTATTCGAAAAAGGTAGTAAGAAATTATCCCCTAAATAATAGTAGTAAACATTGTAATAAACATTGTAACAAACAACTTTTTGTAATAAACATTGAATTTGTTTACAATCGACGACAAATTAATAAATTTGTCTTGTTACGTCAAAGCTCCGCATACACGGAGCTGAGAGTGAACGCAACGGGAAAACCAAATTCTTAGACCGATTTGGTCGTGTCTAAGCCGGATCGTAAAGGAATTGTGGGAAAGGACCGATGCAAATTTTCGCTTCGTGGATCTTAACGAGCTGGGGGTCGAACAGAGGATGAAATGGAAATCTCAACTCGTGTTCAGCTAAACGAACACACGAAACGGACGTACTTTTTAAATTTAAAGGGCTCAAACTGGATCAATGTGCCGGGAAGGCGCACTTTAACGCCAAATGTGCCTATACGTCCGTATGCCTTGGCTTTCAGTCATGGAACTTAATTCAAATGACCGGGGAGAGGGTGAAGTGCAACTGCGGGAGAGCTTAATAAATACAAGGAGAGATGTTTCAAATTATTAGGTGTACAACTTTGCTTTCGCCATTTTCCTATAGATGGCTTTAGCGGTAAGTGGTGGTCGAAATAAATAGATCATAGACGTCATACAATAAATTTGGGTATCTGTCAATATAACCCCATAGAAACAATAGTCGATTTGTGTCTGCATCATAAAGTTATTCTCGATTGAAAATGTCAGTTTACGAGCCAAATTCTCGTCATTTGCGGGAGGTTTTAATTTTTTGCTTCAATATGAAGAAATCTGCGGCAGAGGCTCATCGAATGCTCTCAAATTCTTATGGTGAGACCGCTATTAGTGAAAGAACGTGTCGTGGTTTCAACGCTTCAAGAACGGGGATTTTGACGTCCAAGGTCATGCTCTGTATTTGATGGAACCAACTCGGCGTAGTGTATTATGAACTGTTAAAACCGACTGAAACAATCACAGGCGATCGGTATCGAACGCAATTGATGCGTTTGAGCCGAGCATTGAAAGCCAAACGGCCGCAATACAACGAGAGACACGAGTGATTTTGCAGCATGACAATGCTCGACCCCATGTTGCGAAAGTAGTCAAGACATATTTGGAAACGTTGAAATGGGAAGTCCTACGCCACCCGCCGTATTCTCCAGACGTTGCTCCCTCTGACTATTACTTGTTTCGATCAATGGCACACGGCCTGGCTGACCAGCACTTCCGGTCTTATGAAGAAGTAAAAAATTGGATCGATTAGCGATTATTAGTGGATAGCGCTCAAAAGACGCGGGATTCATACGCTACCCGAAAGATGGGAGAAAGTAGTGGCCAGCGATGGACAATACTTTGAATCATAAATGTACAACCAGTTTTTTACAATAAAACCTCGAATTCCTGAAAAAAAACGGCAGAAGCAAAGTTGTACACCTAATAACAAACAAGGATTTAGTTTAATAGTAATTTAATAAAAGAAGTATTTAATAATACATTTTTCTTAAGTGTAAAGATATAAGTCTTCAGTTTTCTATTCTAAAATATATGGTCGTACGCATTTATGCGCGCGCGCGCGCGCGCGCGTGTGTGTGTGTGTGTGTGTGTGTGTGTGTGTGTGTGTGTGTGTGTGCTGTGTGGAAAGAGCGTTGTGTGTAATACGGACGTTATTCTAAATGTTAAGAGTTTGGAAGGAGGAGAAAAAAATTAAAGTTGTGTAAACTCATATGGAAAGAAAGAGGATCGATGGGAATGAGAGATGGTATGGGGACTGAAAATAAGCAAGTGGATCTTGTGATGTTGATTATCATTCGGTCATCATTAGTAGAAGAAATAAAGTAAGACATTCCAACAACTGATGGGCGTTATGAAAGAGAAGAGGAAGATGACCAGGAGAGTAAGCGTCTGATTGAACAGGAGGAATTGAGGGGATAGTATGTTAGACGGGAAATTCCTGAATCGGAGGCGACATCGATGCGAAACAGGGGGAGAACTTGACGGACAGAGATCATCGAAGAAGTTTGAGAACAAATCAGAGATAGGGGAGTAAGAAATTTCTAATAGCGGTGATAGAGACTGGAGGCTGAACGACCGGAATCTGTTCTTGGGCCGATGCCTGAATTAGCGGAGATTGTTCTCTAGAGTTTTGACTACACAGTCTTATTGGATCGTTTCAACAACATTTTAAAGAAAAAACGTTCCCATTTAGCAAAGAAGAAGGTGCTCTTTCATCAAGACAATGCATAGGTTCACATATGTGCGCAGTACCGATGACCAAATTCAATGAATTCCGCTACGAATTGCTTCCCCATCCAGCATATTCGCCAGATTTAATTCCCTGCGACTATTTTCTGTTTTCAAACCTGAAGAAATGGTTCGGAGGAAAGAAATTCACCACCAGAGCGCAGCTCGCCGAAACAGAGGCTTATTTTGAAGAGTTGGACAAATCATATTATTCGGACGGCTTGAAAAAGTTGAAGAATCGTTGGATCAAGTGTATCAAGTTGAAAGGAGACTATGTTGAGAAATAAAAATGAATCGATCAAAAAAAATGTGTTTTACTATGTTTTTCTAAAAACTTATTGACTTGTCCTCGTATATCTATATCAGAAGTATAAATATTAATAATAAAAGAGCTTATGAAGATATATATATATATATATATACACACCCCGCATACCCGTAGAACAATACTGTTTATTATTATTATTATCTACACACACATATACAAATATATATATATATATATACAAT